ACATGCCGACCGAACCACATCCATAACATACACAATGATGGTGGGGAACATGGTGGCCAGCCCTTCGGTGATAATGTTGCCCGAGGCGGACCACGTGAACACCTCAATCTGGCCCGGTGTGTCAATGATGCACCACTTGTGGCCCCGCTGCCCGGCCCGGCGCACCAACTCTGCGAACTTTGCCATCTTGGTGGTGAACATGTTGAGGGCTGTGACAATGCCGCCATTGGGTCCCAGTTGGTATTGCTTCATCACCTCCTTGTAGTTGACTGTGTCGCGGATGTCAATGTGTGTCGCATAGGGCACCTCACGGCATGCGGGATCCAGATTTACCACATACGGATTAAACTTTTCCTGAGCGTGCTGGATGAGGCTGCGCGTGAAGGTCGTCTTGCCGGAGCCGGCCATGCCCAGCACTATAATGCAGACGGGCGCGTCCTGGATGCCCTCGCTCAGCGATAGAGCCTCCAGTTTAATGTTATCCAAGCTGGCCTCACTGCTGGACGCTTTGGCAGCCATTGTTGTGGCTTTTTATTTCGAAATTGAAGAAACAAAACAAAACGTGCGCCGTATAGGGATGGGATGTTAATGCATTGATATAACAATATATCGATACCTATTGTTTTGGCTGATAATATATCCTCATGGGTGATATATTTACGGAATGGCTTAGGTAAACATTTTTCTGATCACCAATCGAACTAAATTTCTGAATTTTTAGTAAGTTCTTCACATTTTTAGATAATTTTCCTGCACCCTTCCTTTCTACTTATCGATGCATGGTAGTTGGAAAAATAATATCGATATTCTTGTGCGATAGACAGACCATATGAGGCGGAAACTTTAAAACTTATTTTGATCAGAAATATATCCTTTTACCCTGGCCACTGCATACATTTGTGAGGCTCCTAGGTTTTGGAATTACACAATGGAGAGTCGGCTCGTGTTTGCGCTCCAAGGCTTTGGAAGGCTCTTCAAACGGCGATAGAGTTTGGAAAACATTAAAACAATTTAATTTTGTAAATAAATCAAGGAGTGTGACCGGATGGCTCAATATTCCACATGCAAAGCCGGCAAGATACCGATTGCCGGTATTCACCGTTTCTCTGCCGCTGCGCTGTCTGCAGATAATACTGCATTCTCACTTGCTGCAAATAAACAAAATTATTTAATGAACATAAACAACCGCACAAATAACCACAAATATGGCAAACAATGTAAAGAAACTTACCTTGGCAAGCAAGCTAGCTAAACAGGGTGCCGTCATACAGCCAACTACAATAATTAAAAGGGCAACCAGCAGCGTGCGGGTAGGTGCGTAGAGTTTGAATTGAGAGCAAATCTAAGACGCATTTAATTGTTCCCAGGATATTGAGGATCTGGTCGTAGGCGGTGCAGCAGCGTCCACTGGTGCACTATATTTTTCGCCCATACAAACACGAAAACAGCGCTTACTAAATGGGGAGACCATTCAGAAAACAGCCACCAAGGAGGTGTTGATCGCTGCTCGAGTGCCGCAAAAGAAAAAGCGTAATCAACAGAGTTCCTTGGCTGCTGGTGCGGAAGGGGAGCCAGCCATACAGAAAGAAGCTGCAGTGAAGAAGGAAGGTAAGACAAGGATTAAGAAGGAAGTGGAGGAACAGAAAGAGAAGGAACCAAAAGCAGAAGTAAAGAAGAAACTAAAACCAGAGATAAAGCAGCAAATTGATCCTCTGGTAAACGAAGACGTTGTGTCGCCGCAGTCCCTGTGGTATCGCCAGCTGGAGAACATTCGTACCATGCGGAGTCTCAATGCCGCCCCTGTGGACACAATGGGCTGTCATCAATGCGCCGACCCAAGTGCTGATGGAAAGGTAGGGCTCAGCACAGTTAACAAAAAGAAATCTACACATCTAACTCCTCCTTGACAGACACAACGTTTCCAGAAATTGGTGGCTCTGATGCTCTCCAGCCAAACGAAAGATCAAACCACCTACGAGGCCATGAATCGACTCAAAGCGCGCACACTTACACCCGACAGCCTGAAGGACATGCCAGTGGGTGAACTGGAAACCCTACTGCATCCCGTGTCCTTCTATAAGGTGGGGGTTGCCCATTGACCAGTGGCAGAATTCTGTGATTTACCCAACCCTAAAAACCATTTCAGAACAAAGCCAAGTACCTTAAACAAACCACACAAATACTGATAGACAAGTACGATGCGGACATACCGGACAATGTCAAAGAGCTGATCGCCCTGCCCGGCGTTGGACCCAAAATGGCACACATCTGCATGGCCGTTGCCTGGGACAAGTTGACGGGAATTGGCGTCGATGTGCATGTGCATCGCATATCCAACCGCTTGGGCTGGTTACCACGTCCCACCAAGGAGCCAGAGCAGACCCGTGTGGGACTGGAGAGCTGGTTACCCTCGACACTCTGGGCGGAGGTGAATCATTTGTTTGTGGGTTTCGGTCAAACTATTTGCACGCCTCTGAAGCCCAATTGCGGGCAATGCTTGAACAAAGATATATGTCCGTCAGCCAAGATGGGAGCCACTCCCACTAAGAAAGGTGTTAGGTAGAAAGGTGACTAAAAGTCCTAAACTGCTATGCCATAAACAAAATCAAAGAATTTCGAAAATTAAATTTGTAATGTAATAAAAAGTATTAAACATGTATTACCAAACTGAAATATACCAAAGCAGTATTTCTTGGATCACAACATACAGCCACACTATTTTATTTGGCGCGTTTTGTTGTTTACAGGGAGAAATCTTGTGAAATTATTGTTTAAAACAATTAAGAAAACATACAAACAGATCAAAATGAATGATTCATGTAAGTTTAAGCCTAATCATCAAGCAAATTAAATAACTAGAGCTGTAATTTGTCTTTTAGTTGGTGATTTCAATGCCACACAGACGGCACCGGCGGGCGCCGCCAGCGAAAAAAAAGGAGAGGTAATTATTTTAGCACACAACTAAACAGAATTTGCGTATAAATGTCACTCAAATTGCGTAGGGAATTGTGCCATTGGTGGTGAAGCAAATTGTGGATGCGCCCGAGGGCAATATTGAGATGTTTGGCATGCAGTATGGCATGGCGTGCCTGGTGGCAATTGTGCGAAATGTGGAGACTTCCTCCACCAAGATAACATACACGCTGGAGGATCACAGCGGTCGCATCGATGCCCACTACTGGCTGGAGGAGGGTGATGCCCTTAAGGCACCCGAAGTGATGCTGAACAACTACGTCAAGGTCTATGGCACCACACGCTCGCAGGCGGGCCAGAAGACGTTGATGGTGTTCAAGCTGCTGCCCGTTCTCGATCCCAATGAGGTGTGCACACATCTGCTAGAGGTGCTCAATGCACGCTACAAGGCTGAGGACTATCAGACCAAGGGCGATGCGGGCTCTACTGCCATGGCCACAGATTTCACCGCCTCCCAGAGCTCGGCCATTGTGAGTGGGTTGGATGCCAAGCAGCAGGCTGTGTTCCAGGCCATCAAGAGCAACATGTCCGAGGAGGGCATCAGTCGCAAGGAGCTGAAGGCCAAGTTCTCGCACATCAGTGATGGCGAGTTGACGTAAGCTAAATATTTTCTGCCACTTGTTTCAATTTTTTCTTATTATTCGATTCTTTTTAGCAACATTTTGGACTTTATGATTTCGGAGGGTCACATTTACTCCAGCATAGATGCAGATCATTTCATTTGCACCATGTAAAAGGCAACCTATAATCGCTTATCTTGTAATTTAATGAATAAATGTTTAAGTTTATTGAAATGAATGGCGAGCTTAAAGCGTTTTCCAGGAGCAGCTGTGATCCTCTATGTCTATCCCTTTCCAGCACTTGTTTCGCTGCGAGCGTGGTGAATCCGTTATTGGTGCTCACCACAGCGCACAACGGCACCTGCACAAGGTGAATTTACAAACAGCTGTGCAGCGGCTCGCAATAAGTGATGAAAAAAATGTGCAAATAATTCTCTTTCTTCTGGGCATATTTATAGCACGATTTAATAATAATAAAAAAGAAATAAACTTGAATAACATTGAGATAAATATACAAACTATAAAATATACAAATAAAACACAAACAAATATAAATTTGGTTACTTAAGGAAGGAAGTCTTTGAGCTGGTTTTTTTTTTGTTTGCGATGAGAGAATACTTTTTGCTGCGGGGCTTTGGAAATATTTAAAAATTGTTCTAGGGGTAAATTGTTAGCTACTAAAATTAAGCCCAAAAAGGGCGCCACTAATGATGTAAAATATAATTGATATTGCCTGTTGGATTTTTTATCACTTTATCACAGCGGCATAGACGCGGACGTTGAGGCGGAGGCTGCTGCTACATTTGTGCCCAAATTCATTTGCAACTTCATTTCGCACAACTTTTTGATGTGTATCTGATTGGTGAGCTCAGCCTGTCTCAGAATTTTGCGTATGTCCGCGAGCCGTTCGTGTTTGTTGGCCAACAAATACGCAGACTTGAGCTGCCCAATGTAGATGTACGAGGAAATGCGCAGCTCCACGTTTGAGATGCGCTTTATAAGACGATCCAACGTTTGCTTGGTCTCCGGCACATTGCTGTGCACCGCCGCATTGATGGCTATGGAGAGTAACTCATCGGATTCCGAGCTGACGGCGCCACCATTATTGCTGCCAATGCAGTCGAGCAGACGATCCACCTCCGAGAGGCGTTGATTGCGCGCCAAATACTTGGCTGTGGCACCAAACACTTTCATGGCGGAGAGTTTGTAGTCTTGGATGATGCTATAAAGAAAGGATTTGCTGTGCTTAATGCGTGACTTTGATGTATAGACAGCCAAAACGTACCCGTAGGCCAGTCCAAAACCCTCATCAATGTTCTTGCCGCAAAGCAGCACCAAAATGCACAACTGAATTCGGTCTGCAGCGCCCTCAAACAGCGTAGGCAGCGTACACCGATTGGATTCGCTGCGAATCTGCAATGAAAGAGCGTCAAAAAGTGGCCATAATCAGATGGATTTCCCCTCACCTGCTTCAATATTTGCAGCGTGCGCAGAGGCTGCTCCTCGGGCGACTGTTCCCGCTCGCATTTTGACAGAAATTTAGCCACCTCCAGCTGCCTGCGTATCGTGTTGATGTGTCCATTCAGCGCACGTGCATCCATTTGCATGGCAAAGCAAGCGCCATGAGAGCTGCCAGCGCTGACCACGCTCGCGCGTCGCCCCTGATGCTGCTGTCGCTGCAGATGCTCCCATTCGGCGAGGTCCAGTTCCCCCTGCAGATGCATGTGTGCCGCCAGCAGGTGCTGCGCATTGGCTTGCAGTTTTTGGAAGTTTTCACACTGCAGCGCATAGAACTTGACGCACGTCATGCTCGCCCTTATGGGATCCTTGAGCAGCAGCTGCAGCTGGTAGAGCGAGTTCAATTGCTGCTGCTGCTCGAGGTGCCGACAGGTTTGCAGCAGCGGCAGTCGCCAGGCGCCCAACTGCGCGTCGTCCAACTGTTGCAGCTCCTCCACCAAAGCGGGCAGACTGCCCGTGGCTAGTTGTGGCTGAAAAATGTGTTGAATGAAGAGCTCCGTGTCCAGTTGCTGCTGCTGCCAGTAGCGCAGAGCCGCGCGCAGTTCCTCGCGCTGCATGAGAAACGAGAGAATGTCGCCCTGACTGCCGTAGGTGAGGACATAGTGAAGGGATTCCTCGAAGCTGCGACACTGGCGGCGGGACTCCTCGTTGACTGTTGCATGGCCCTGCCCCTGCCCGTACTGCCCCTTGGCAATGTTCTTTAGATTCGCCAAAGCATTCATCACATTCAGCGCTGGCTCCTGCTGCGGTCGCTGCTGCACGTAAGGCTCACGGCGACGTGTAAAGAGCGATGCCAGCGAGCTGTTGGAGCTGCGTATGAGCGAGGCCCGATGCAGCGTCTCCGGCTGTGGCTGCAGCTGCGGCATGGCCGCTATCAGCTGGAGTATCTCCTGCAGCAGCGGTGGACCACGTTGCGGTCGCTTTCGGGGCAGCAGCACGGCCTCCGTTTGGGTCGCAGCCAGGCCAAAAATGTTCTTGCAAATGCTGCTGTTCAGCTGCTCATTGGACAGACGCGTCATGCAGTGTCCAAACTTTTCGCGTGCTGTGGCGAGGGCAGAGAACGATAATGAGAGCAGCTAGCGGTTGATGCAGAAGCGTTTCCTTACCCGCTTCATAGCAGCCAGCACGCAGACAAGCCAGCCCATGGGCAGCCATTACCCCAGTGGTGGCAAAGCCGCACTTCAGGTGCACCTCCAGCGCCAATGTCCAGTGTTCCGCCTCGACCAAGGCATCCGCTAGCTTGCGCAAATTGTGATTATCGAGTGGACCCACGGGTATGAGCGACTCACAGCCCTGCTGCACCACAGCCATAATGATTTCCGAGTGCTCGCGAATGTTTTCAAACTCCCCCGGAGCGCCGCGGAACTGCAGGAAGAGAAAGGGAATCAGTGGGCAGACCATAAGGGAACCTTTGCGCTCGCCAAACCTTTGCTGCAAAGGCCAAACAATTAATCATCTTGGCCACCAGTCCGTAGTCCACCTCGGGATTGGGCACAATCAACTTCTCCAGCTTGCGGCAGTGATAGAGCAGCAGATCCACGCAGCTGCGCTGCTCCTGATGGTGTCGCAGGATGGACAGACTCATGGCCACGCTGGGCGCATGCTCGTAGGAGAACTCCTCGCGCAGCAGCTTGTCGTGCGTGATGTTGCCGCTGAGTCGCCACTTGCACGAGTCCAGCAGCGAGGGGGTGGCCGAAGCGTTGCTGTGCTCACGCGAAGAGCTCGAATGCGACTCCCCAGCGCTTGTGGCACTCAGCGCAGATCCACAATCATTGCAGATGCGCACCTCCAGCTCAGCGTAGAGCTCGGGGATGCGCAAACGCTGCGTGGAGCAGGCATAGCAGACGACCCGCCCACAACGACGACAATGATGGCGTCGCATCAGCATGGTAAAGGCTGCCCTGCGGCAGCACATGCAGTGACTGGCCGCCTCATCTGCCGTCCACTGTTGCCGGCTGGGCGCCTGCTTGGGCATGACAAAGGCGCCGCACAGCGAGTCCAACGAGTGCTGCAAATCCGTGCCCAAGGAGCTCTGTTCGTTGGAGGAGGCAGCGGATGGCACCGAGCGGTAGTCCAGCGCTTTGCTGGCGTAGATGCGCAGCAGCAGATCCAGGCACTCCTGGCCCACAAAATGATCCTGCTGATACGAGTTAAAGTTGAGCAAAATAAATGCCTCGGAGGTGGCCTGACCCAGCTGAAAGCGCAGCTGCTTGCCGTGCTGCTGGGTCGTCGTCTGCACATCGTAGACATGTCCGCGCTTCTCGAAGCAGTAAGGACACGGTCCGAGGGGTTTTTCGCGCTGCAGTCGGGCTCTGGCCGCTGCCAGCAGCTTGGCAAGCAGCTCAAAGCGCGCATTCATTACGAGTTGCTCCACGATGAGCAGGGGATGTCGTAGCAGTCGCCAGAATGACTGCCGCTCCGGCAATTCCATTTCCCCCAGCAGCACCAGCGACAGCTGATAGTTGCGATAGGGCCGCGGATCGCGTGCATGCAGCTCGAGGTAGTCCATGATCCATTGAAGCAGCGCCAGCGAGCGGAACTTGTCTTTGTGCGTGTCCAGAAAGTTAACCAGCGACGCAGGCGGAAACATCTGCACAATGCCCAGCAGGCAGACGTCCAACTGCTCGCCATCGCGCAGCTCCAGCAGCGCATCAAGCAGCGTGATCAGACACACGCGCTGCTGTCCCTCGGAGCCCGTTTGGAACACAACGCGGCACCACTCGAGGCACAAGCCATAGCGACGTCGCTGCAGCAGCTGCTCAAAGATCACATTCGGCGTTTGCCGCCCGAAATCGTACGCCTGCGGCCAGCTCTCAAACTGCAACAGCGCGGACACGCGCGCATATATCGTTATGTCTGACAGCGTGTGCTCCAGCTGAGTGCGCAGCGCGGGGGGTATGGCCCCAGCCGCCTGACGATGCTGCAGCGTGCGCTCGATCAGCTCCTTGGCCAGCTGACTGCTGGGAATCTTCGTGAAGTGCAGCCTGAGGAGGCGCGCACGCTGGCCCAGGTCCTGCATGTGCACCACCAGCTGGATGTGGCGGGAATCCTCGGCGATGAGGTCAAGGATGAGCTGGTCTATGCGTGAGCTAAGCTGCGCAGGGGACTCTGCAAGAGGGAAGCGGATGTAGAAGGAATTTCAGTTGTTTCTTTGCACTCACCTGTCTGCCCACCCATGCCCAGCAGCAGTATTTGCAACAGCAGCTCCTTGCTGTCCACGAGCTGCCCTAAGACCTGGCTGTCCAACTTATAAGCACTCAGCGCAGCCAGCAAGCGATTGCCCTCGTGCATGGCCGCCAGCAGCTCCAACTCGGGCAGCTGCTGCAGCTGCAGCAGGCAGGCAAAATCCAGGCCACCTTCGCTGACGTCTGGCAGCTGTTGGCCACGCTGCACGGCCATTAAAAGCTGCGCCAACAGTTGATTATGCTGCGCCATGTAGTTGTGTATGGATTCCTGCTTCTGTGGCGACACGCGGCGTGGCGGCTTGCGTCCGCGCAAGCCCTCACCCAGCTGCGGGCAAATATTCAGCGCTATGACATGAACCAAATTGAGATGCAGCGCCGCCACATTGGCCTCAATCTCGAGCGGCGTGACGTTGCACTCGTAGATGAGCTCCCCAATGACATCGTAGGGATCGTGCCGCAGCAGCTGGCTGTTGTGGTACTCCAAGTTGGCATCGCGCAGCTGCAGCAAGCGCGCCAGCTGCCCCATGTAGCCGCAGAAGCG